AATTTTAAACACTGTTTTGAATCCTTGTCTCTGGGCCTCTTTCTTTAGACTTGGGCTAAATGTTGCTACGGACGCTTCGGTACTACCTTGCAACTGGCAAGTTTTAACTCGTTGTTAGAGATCATTACAATTGTTATTTGTTAAATTTGTTCAAACTTTTTTACTGATTACAGTTTATCCCGATTATAATTAAATATTGATCAATTCATAACAAATATTAATTATTCAATGTTATTACAAAACATTAAAAACTGAGAAGTGATAACGATTAAATTACTTCTTAGAGCACACAATAATTTTTAATTTAAAAAAAATATTCTGTGATACAACGTAATTTCAAGTTCTTGGAGTTATATATTATACTACATTTTTCGTAAGTTTTTKACGTCCAGCCACCCAGTGCGATGGGTCGAAGGAAGAGTAAAAGAAAGCCGCCCGCGAAAAGGAAAGCCATAGAGCCCCTGGACACTCAGTTCAACTGTCCATTTTGTAATCACGAAAAATCCTGCGAAGTCAAAATGTRAGTAGCGCTRWAAATTGGTTTTTAGTTATCGTTGTCAAAATGTAATATAAAAGTAATGCTATGTTATTGTCATGCTTGTCATGATATAATGATACAACATGATTTTCACACAATCTTGAATTAATAATAYCTTTCTGATTGCACATTGCAGGGACAAGAGTCGAAACGTGGGGAAAGTATATTGTCGGGTTTGTCTTGAATCGTTTCAAACGACTACAAGCTTTTTGTCAGAACCAGTTGACATATATAACGATTGGGTAGACGCCTGTGAAGCTGCTAATTGATAATGAGTGACTACAGAAACAAGTTTGAAGTAATTATATTATAATGGTGTAAACCCGGGGTGTCCAACCTTTTTTAAAGGCTGGCCCACTTCATATAGTTAGAAGTTGTTGTGGGCCACATACTTTTTTTTAAATAATAATACATTCAAATTTAATAATTCAATTATATTCTATAATATGACAATACATTTTTTTTTATAATTTTACTAGGTATAGCGAATAATAAGCAGAAATATTTTTACAAGTATTAATACTAATAAAAACACAGACGTATGCATTAGCCTTAATAGTTTATTTRATATTTTATAATTTTATATTTTTAAAATAAATTTGTTCTCGTAATATTAATGTATTATATAAAATTAATTCATGGTTTTTAAATTGAATTGAGGGCCACATCAAAATCTGCAATGGGCTGCGGGTTGGACACCCCTGGTGTAAACTATAGGTATGTTTATCATCTTCTATTTAAATAGCATAATACACCTAAATATACATAAACATTACATGACTCATGTGTCTCCAACAAATATATTCTCAAGTGGTTTTTTCGTAAAGTCCATTTATTGCTACCAGATTATAAGTAAAGAAAAATATATTATGTTTGTATTTTATTTTAATATATGTTAAAAGGATGGGAGCACATATTTTTCTGTGTCCCACGCTTTACATAATATCAAATTTAACATTCACAATAACGATAACCACAATGTTAATAATTTCTAAAATTAGAGTTAAATGACCTCTATAATAAACCATTATTTTTTGTCAAATTCAAGTATTTTGCTTCAATATATTTTTGCATATTTAAATATATTCACCTCTCAACAACATACAATATTTTATAGTTACAAGTTAGGTAACTTTTCTAGATTATTTTTTCATAACTAAACWTTACTTATTATTAATATAGTTTACAGAATTTATCTCATCACGCATCACCATGTTAAAGTCCTTTTTATCTTTTTTTAGATTAAAGAATAAATGGACATGAAAACAATCTTGAGTTGTAATACATTAGGTTGGTTTTTGTTAGAAGTATGTCAATATTGTTGTAATCGCCCTACACAACCTAAAAATATATGTTATTTTTTCATTTTATTTTGTTTTGTTTTAAATACCAATATGACTTAATTTTTATTATAAGAACTATCTATGGCGATTGTCTATTTTTTAATTAAAAAAATATTTCAAATTTTATGAATTAAATTAATATTATAATTATTGAATTACTATTTTTAAATACGCTTTAGAAAAAAAAATTCTGTACCTGAAAATGTATTTTGTATTTTTTTTTTTTTTATATATATTTATATATATATTTTAGTGTTTTGTGTATTACTAATCATTGTCAATTATGAGAATCTGGCCTAGAATCCATTAGATACATAAAATAAAACTAAAAAATTTTTGGCATATGTTGTCTCTATTCAATAACTTTTCAAGCTGAGTAATTAATTTACATTTAAAGTAGGAAAARTGAAAATTATTGTTATTCAAACACATAGTTTTAAATTATGTTACAAATTGAAATATATTTTAATGATTTATGAAGAGCACCATCTCACTATCTTTTAACTTTCATCAGTGATTAATTGCATAGAAATATTTTGTGGGAAACTGTCTGCTGGGAAAGTATTTATGGTAGGTTAGGATAAGTTATATTATTGTGAAAGTATACATWTGTTAATAATATTATATTAAATAAGTTCTATTTGGTTAATTAATACTATGAACAGAGTTAGACACCATGATAAATTATATGTACACATTTTTTATTTTATAATTCACAATATAGGTTTCAGAAAAAAATGGTTAGGTAAAAAAACATATTTTTGTCCATGAAAGTAATATGATTTAACCAAAAATAAGGWAGAGATACATTAAGATGTTAAATATAAATACTGAAAAACTAAATATAATGTATTAACTGAACCAGTGGCTCCCCATACACTCTCGTGTCCACTCTGTTTGGCACAACCAACACCATGGAAATAAACATCGTGTACATACCATGTGCATACAACCTCCTTAAAAATAAAAATAATAATGTAATCTACAAAATACTCAAATATAATAATATCTACCATCTCGTTCAGTTGCCGTACGACATTTTGGACAAGGTTTAGTAGAAACTTTGATYTTTACTTTGCTTGCATCATCCCATTTAGACTAAGATATTGATAATTGAATGAATTTTTATTGCATATATTAGCTATTATTATTATATACCTGTGAAACTAGCTTAGGGTCAACTGAATAACTGGTAATATCAATAATTAATTGCTCTTCCTTTGGTAGACATTCGCCAATATGATAACCTTGAAGACATTTCTTACAAAATACATACTAAAATGTAGAAAACAATTCACTTTAGAAACTTTCTAGATGAAAATTGCAATAAACAGTATTACCCCACATCCATTCATACATGTCACTTTGTCACAGATATCATCAACAAGTATACCTGCTCCACAATTTGGTTGAGGGCATAAGACACCACCATTCTTCAGTACATATTCTTCAGTAGCAAACCTTTCATACATTTCAAACTAATAAATATATAAATACTTTAGAAAGCTTAGTGACATAGTAACAGGATATGTATATCAATGGCAAAACCAGGAATATGATAGAAGTAAATTATTTGTAAATAATAAATTATAATAGTGTTTAAAAATACAATGAATAAACTTTTAGGCTATACTACTCTAGGTGTATGAATGTTTGRACACTGTCAAAAAAAGATGAATCCTCATACTTCTCATTTGATTGTGCCTTAGATATGTCAATCTATATTAGATTGTTACATGCTAATGGTACTTACATGATCTTTGCTTAATGCTTTAAAATGATAGGGCTGGTTAATTAAACTATTAGGACAACCAGCTGGACATGGTAATGTGTAACCAAGATTATTGTCAAATATAAATCTTCTTTCTCTAAGTCGRCTGACTGCATACTCACAAAAACATTCTAAGCAGGTTACATGACCATCATCACATGGATATACAAATACTTTTGATCTATAAAAACATACATTAAATCATTACCTTAGAAACATTATCATAATATTACCTGACATCAGTACAAGCTAGACATTGAATATAATGTAAGTTATTTCTAATTAAATTAAGTGCCACTGCTTCATCGTTTTCACCTTTGGTAACATGTTCAGAGCATTTGAAATAAAACTCTGACCATCCTACCTCTCCATCCTAACAAAAATTAACAATTACCAAATAATAACAAATCAATGCCATCAAATTAAATTTAAAAATACATACTGTACATTGAGATATCTCACAATGTCCTGTAATTCTTTTAGATTTGAGTACATCATTCCAGTTTTTTGGATCACTGTCCACAGTAAATGCACCACTCTTACATATGAAACATCTCACACGGATTTTTCCAACTGTTATATTGGCACAAGGTGAAGTACAGTACACGTAAAAGTTAACAGCTGTACGTTTTGTATCATCAAATTCTTCATCTTCTTCTATGCATGTAGATACATGTGGCTTGCGTTTAAATGACCTGCRTCTGGACTTAACAGCATGCAACACAGTCTGTTCTGCTAAATTATACTCTTCCAACAATTCCGAGTCTTGTAGTTCTTTGCCAGCAAATATGATCATTAGCTACGAGAATAACGGCATAACCGGTCAGTAAAAGAAAAAATAGGATACTCAATGAATATATTATATGACATAATGAGTATAACAATGACAAGCAAACCTCCTCGGGGGTCATGCCCAACTTTGGAGCGACAAACTCTTTAATGTCTCGAACTTCCCATTTTGGGTCCAGTCCCACAGGCACAACAGTGCCGGTATTAGTCTTAACGAATATCAACAACGAATTTGTGATGCGCCGAGCGAATATTGTGTCWAGAACACGACGGATGAAACTCAATAAGCAATCTAAGATATACATCATGAATTCAGTTTAAGAACAATTTAACATAATTTATATTTATTTTGTTTTGAATAATAATCAAATAATGACGTGAATAATATTGTTATTCGTTACAAAATACAAATTGCAAATCAGTCGCTATTTTGATTATTTTTTTAAACGGTCAACCCGCGGGGTCACGAGATAACAAACATGTGCGACAACTTCGGATCGGAAACTTTGGCGTTCTTTTTCAAACGATAGTCAGCGAATTTACTCCATGATTTTTCATTGAATTTGACATTATTTTGTAATTTTATTTGAATTATAAACAAAGAACTAAAGTACCCTAAGTACAATTTTAACCAGTCGTTAACAGTTTTTTTAAACATTTTTATGTTTATTTATTATATTCTTCTTTTTAATAATCGGCATCGAATTAAAATAAGTAGGACCCAGGTACTCCACGAATTTTTGACCATTTGACCAAAAGATTTTTTTAAATATATCACTTTAACATCATATGCTAAATGTTCCCTTTTTGTTTTTCAATTATTTTTATTCTCCAATTATCTATATTTTTACMTACCCATAAAATGGCAATTTTTTTAAATAGTAAATTTACAGGTAATACATTTAATAATTTAAAATTTTGACTTGTTGAACCTTCAAGAGTWGGTTTCTGCAGACATATCCGAACAATTTGTCTTTGTTGAATTAATAATAGAGCATTAAAAGAATAATAGAGTATTATCTATAATAGATAAATATCTAATGAATAATGATAATTAAATTAATTTATGTTTAATATATTATCATAAATCAAAGTTACCTACCTGTCTTATATTCTATAATAAATTTGATCACATAACTTATTGTATAATTCCATAAATCACTTTTAATCAGTATCATTCAACCATTATAGGTTAGGTTATAACCTTATATATAGTTATAACCTTATACAGTTATACTATATAGGTATAACTGTATAAGGTTAAGTTTTATACCTAAATTTCTATTATCATATATAAGTATGTAGATTATAGACTATAATATAATAGGCTATTTAGAATTTTGCGTTATACATATATATTTATAATATGACGTAAAAATTATAAATATTATTTAAGTTTTCATAAATCGCCAAAGTATACTTAAATACTATAAAAATAAGAGTGTTAGGTTTATGATAGTATTTAGTATGATTTATTGTTATTCTTAGACTAACGTGAGAAATAAAAAATAATAGGTATATCAATAATAAGCAACATCGTGTAATAAAATAATTAATAAATATCTAAAAGGTACTAAACTCAAAATATACCAATAGAATATATTTATATTTTATATTTAAAAGAGGTTTAGAGGTTGGATTGTTAAACAATTAAAATTGTAAAAATAATAATAAACACTGAATAACGAGTGAATAAGTAATTATCGYGACTTAACGTTCGGTTATTTAACTGATTTAAGATAATATATTATTTTATGTAGATCTTAAAACGTGGTATAATAATTACTAATTTATTTCAATGTTTTCATAAAATGCTTATTATAGTAATAAACACTCACCTTGTTGACTTGGTTACACTGTAACCTTGGTTTTATCACTGACAACTCGGACAAATTTTTATAGATAATGGTTTATCACGTTCAACATTGAACATCAACAAAACTGCGGCGTTTTCGTTTTAAGGAAATTAATCAACCGCGATTTATAGTTTTTATTTATATATTTTTTTTTTTTTTAGTCTGGGTTCATATGCCGCTATGAAAGTTGGCTAGATAGACGGACATAATCTCTTTTAATGTTATTGAAAAAAAGTAAAAATGAGCAACCTTTTAGTTTACAGAACGCTGTTAATAAAATTCACGTTTTCGTCGTTACTAATTTTCTTGCACTTTCTGTACGCGATTTATTCATGGCTCGTCGACCAGACGATATTCAAACAACCGGATCCTTGGCATAATCGTTCCATAAACGGATACAAGAAGTACCGTTTAAAAAAGTTACCCAACCATCTTGTGGTGTCTGTATGCCAGGAGGAAGTGTTCTATGAATATCTGGCCAAATTGTTGGCCTGGGCGTTATTTCTAGAAGTTCCTGTCGTCAGCTTTTATCACAATGAAAACGGTAAAGTGTATAACGAACTAACAGTTTTTTTTTAGGGATGGTGCTAGTAATATGGTTCCTCTTTAATTGTTGGCTTTAAAAGAGCCAATACCAGTGTTATAAAGTATTTAAATATCGGTATTCATGAATTATATTTAATACATTTAATAATATTTTAAATACTTTCCATCAACAAGTATTTTGATTAAATGTTGGACTGWTTTATTGTATTGAATACTATTTTAAAAATATTTTCAATATTTGAAATAGTTGTAAAAAGAAATGGGCATCACAAAATTCTTATACTTTA